CTACATGAAATTAATCCAACAACATATTTTTTTCTACCAGAGCAGTAAAGGTTTAGCTGGCTGGTGCTTTCATGCTGAAATTCCATGTCCCAAATACACAGCTGGCCAATCACATGTATAGCATGTATAGGACTCTCTCTAACTGAGGTCCAACACTTTCATGGCTGCGCTCCATTGACTCTAATGCAAAAGGATTTGTTTTCTAGCTTTTTTTGGCTATATTTTTCTAAGATATGGTCAAACGCTGTTCCTGGGGCACTTGTAATAGTTACAGTCGCTACCCAGAGAGGTTGAAAGGAGAAGTACGATTTATTCTCTTTCCAAAACCTAAAATAAATCCAGAATAATGTCGGCCGTGGATCGTTCCTAATGTAATGTTAGTTAGCTAATGCTAGCTAACTTCCTACTGAATGTAACGTAACAAAGTCCTGCTGTTCTAATTGTAATAATGAATAGAGGCCTACCCAGATTTACAGGAAGAGTGTTGATCGTTCATATCGTTGTCTTTTGTCTCAATCATCGGGGGATGCGGTGGTTCACTTGCACTGTGTGACCGGTAGGCTTTAGCTTCTAGCTTAAATTTTTTTCACGTTTGAGTCAATTTGACAGCCTGAATACAACCTTTAAACGTATGATGCAACTGCAAAACTGTGTGTTTCTTTCTGAGATCGCTTTTTCCAACAAATTTGACAATATTTCTCCAGGGAGTGCAGTAATAGAAAGTGACGGCGCTGATAGTTTGTCGGACTTAGCAACAGTAACTAAGGGGGCGGGGCTTAGCGAAGGGTCAATTATAAGGAGAAGGAGAAGAAGAACGCCATGATGACGAAACACACTCTGTAGCGCTGTTTGTCCATTATTGGCTATTGTAGAGACATGACAACAAAATACAGCGACCTCCATAGAAGGGGGTGCCTGCAGTTATGTAGATATATGGTTCATTCTAAGGTAATAAAAACATAATGGTTCATTATGTAAGGTCTTTATACACTACTGAAAACATAGTTATAGATATTATATTGCATTTCTGTCAATGAATCCTCAGAAATATTACACACTAAACCTTTAAGGTTTTATAATGTAGAAAAAACACCTATATTTTTTTTTTCTCTGAGATATTACAGTTTCACAGTGAGGACCTGATTCATTTTCAAGCAGTGTTTTCAGTAATTACTCAATATCAAAAAACTTTTTAACAGTGAGAATGTTTGTCATGACCTGTTCCTAATTAACAGTGCTCTGCAAAAACATTAGGGGGCAACCAAGGATACCTTTTTGTTTTTTTAATGTGCAATCGTGTAATCAAAAGGTAAATGAACCCATGCTTAGTAATGTTCAAAAAATGATATGATTACATATTCAAAGCATATTATGATTTTGGAAAAAATCATACATGTAATTGTGAATGAATGGGCCTTAAAAGCTTTGTCCCTGGTCATTTGGAAAGTCATCAGTTCTTAGTCACTTTGCACATGCAGAAGGTGGGCGAAACTGGATGACAGATCCACATCTTGCTCACCACGGTTGAATCATATCTCTCATTCCCATTTGGCAGCACACAGTGCTTAGCTCGTCAGTGGGCCAAGTGCGTTTCTGCATGCATGAATATTGGTATGATATCTGAGGGTGGAAAAATGTGAGGAGACAGCTCTGAAACTTATGTCTATGTTAGTTTCCCTGAGTGTGTAAAGGATGCAAATGTATGTATGGAACCAGTTTTTGAAAATATTCTCAAACATAGCAATATGTGTGCAGGGACACATACACATTTGATTTCAAGCCCACTTGCAAAATGTAAGCCCACAATGTACTATTTGTGATACAGGTTACAAAACAGCCAACAAGACATAACTTATTGAAAGAAATTACCCATATGCTACAAAAGGTTGTTAAAAGCTGTATGAATATCGGTAGTTAGTGAAAGGGGCAATTAATGCAAACGTGAAAGTTAATGTGTTTGTTTGCATCCTTGAGTCAGACCAACTGTGCTGGTCCCAGCTCTGTACAACTTGAAAGCCTCCGCTTATGGTCAGCTGAACACACTGCATCATTCCACCCATGCAACATAGATGGAAAGGAAATGAGCTTTCACTGCAACCGTGAACTTCTCAATGTCTGCACATTCCATCAGCCCTCAAAGTCTCCAGTGGCGATAAGCTATTGCTATCAATGTTTTTTTTTTGCCAATGACGTTCTAAGCATGAAAACCATTACACTTGCTGGCACTAAGTGGTTAGAAACAACTGCTGCTATGATTCGTTTGAAGGCAGCTGCCTCCTCAAGTGGACAGCCATGCCTTTTAAAGGCACCCTAATGCAGCCTTGATGCCACCTCATTAGATAAGGCTCCTTTTTAAGCATTCAGTCCAACATCTCAGTTGACTGATAGTTTGTTCAATCTGCGTCCTAAGTCTCATAGTAAGTTAAATACTGTAGACTTAAATATTTAAGGAGATTAAGGGGGTCTCTGTTAATGGAGAGAGGGCTACATGGTAATGCAGTGGGGATGCTGAACATAATAGTAGATTATATGATAATTCATTGCATAATAGTAGATTACATAATAATAGATTATAATAGAATATTTCACAGGAACTTTACTACAAAATTGGTTTGTCACATCCACAAAAAACAATCAAGACATTAATGAAAGTTGCTTAAATAACTACATGTTATACCACCACACTGCACTCAACAAAGATATGTGTAGGACCTACAGTAGGTGAGTACAGACTGCAATAGGACCATAAAGATTTACTATAGGTCATCTTAACTTTAGTTTGAGTTCACTTTCTGGTGTAGGTATACAGATTTTCCTTGCCAGTGTATTTACAGCCATAATACTAAATAGAACTGACATAAAATCATTTTTTGGAGAAGCTATTCAGCGTTGTTTCCAAATACACTTTTCAGTACTTTTAACATGCTGTCCACTGACTGTGACAGGCTGGCTTAAGAAATTTAAGGTTTCTAATACCGAATGCCATCCCAAACTCATCCATCTTCTGCAGACTTGAGAAGAGTTATTTTAGCATTCATTTAATAGTATATACTGATACTCAAACATGGGATCAAATGCAGCAGCCATGTGTGACACTGGTACATGTTCTCTGTGGCCTATTAGAAAGCATTTCATCCAAAGAAGAGCAACAGCACTGTTACCACTAACAGGCTTTGCAGGCAAACGTGTGGTTTCAGGGTTTAACAGGTTTTACTAAAATTTCAAAACAAAACTTTTACAAAGAGAAGTGAGTGCGTTTGCTCTAAAATCAATATGTGAAATGGCTTCTTATTTCTTAGAGACAGGGACCATATAGGAGCACAGTGTGACTATCCCAAAAATGCTGAAAAGGTCAGTTTTCCCAGTTGTGGTGTTTACCTAGACTATAGCTGTCACACTGCGTATGTGAACAATGTAGTGGTAAAAGCTACTATATTGATCTGATAACATCGGCCTGTTCAACTTGTGCACTTAAGATAGAATTGCAGCCCTAAAAACAGTTCCTTATTTTATTTTAAATACCATAGGTTCAGTATGTTTCATGGTTTTTTAGCTGTTCTTCGTGGACATTTTTTTACCAAGTTAACCTGCCCTGGCCTGGTTTACTATATGTTAATATAGTCTTAATTCTACGTGAGATCTTTGAATTGCAATTTTAATGTAGTCCAGATAATTAATCTAAAATTGAAAGGGGAACTGGTCAGGTTTATTGTTTTTTGCATCGATGTTTTATTTATGAGCTATAACATGATTAATTGTATGTGTTATACTGCTATGTGACCTTCCTGGTGCATAGAATTGCTGAATTAAACCACACTATGTTCACATGCACAAATAAACCACGCAGAAGTGTTTACTTGTGGTGATCTTTTAGTATAATCAGAAAAGAAATGTGTTTGCATGGTAGTGTTCATAGCTTTAATGTGATAAAAATATCATTCATGTATACTGACCGATGTAGCTCTGATGACTCTGATCGAGTAAAAACTGTGGAAGAAACTGGTACATAGAAAGATGATTATACAACACTCTGGTTCACTCCTACAGAGCCTAGAGTGAGAAGTCATTTGAAAGTGACCAAGCCCCCTCAAACAACAATTTAGCAAGCCACAGGGATGAGTCTACATGAGGTCTGTCCACAGGGAGGGAAGGACAGATGGAGGCAAAGATATAGACAGAGAGAGGGGATGAGTGGTAGGAGGGCTGACCCTTAATTTTTTTTCTCTGAGCAAAGTTTTAGGGAGGGTATTACAGCAGTAATACCTCAACTGCTATTGCACCCAGCCCTGTTTTTGACAGCAGCAATTTTCACATGAACTCTACATTTGTGTAAGCCCCCTCCACTCCTCCCAGAGTAAAAGTGTGCACTATGCACCAAGAGTTGTCCTGCTATTAAAGCTGTTATTTCTTGGTTCGTGGGCTGACACAATGTTGTGCAAACCAAAAGTATGAGGCCATTAAATGTGAAAATACAAAATATCCAGCTGACAAGGTTCTTCCTCCCTGAGCCCTGTTGTCATCTTCTCTGTCTAGTCCTTAAAGGTTTAAGTCAAATCTGGAATTAAGCTTACTTAGCAGTAGCCTATTAGATTTTGTAACAGTTTGGAAGCCAATGAGTCTGTTTAAACTATTAAAGAAGCAGTACATCATTTGTTGAAACTGTGGATTTCCAATCAAGACAGACGAAAAATAGTGCTGAGGCAACATTATGTGTATTTAAACACCTCTTTTCCTCTTGTGGTACATATAATTAATATGATTAATAATCGATTCTGCTTATCAGACTTAACAAGGTGTTTTAAAATGCTTGTGCTGTGTTTTATATTTCCAAGTGGGTTTGGATTAATAAGAGTGTAGTAAAGTGGGCTTCAAGATTCACTTTAGTTCAAATGTTAAGTAATTGCAATATGATAGCCCTTGTTGAAATATATTTCAAAGCTTGTTTTCAGAGTTTCTCTGTTGATGCTCATTAATTTTTTATTAAATAAATGCCTCCACAGATCACAGATGTCCTGGCAATAGCAGAACTTGTGACCAGCACCTGGAGGGTATCCCAGAGTTCACATGGAGCATTGTGGCTGCCGGTGACCTGCTGGAGGAAAGAAACGAGAAAGCAAAGAAGTCAGGAAGTCCCCAGGGGTGGGAGGAAGGTAAGAACGAAGGTATCACATTCCCCCGTTGCACGGGAATTTCATTCTTCAATATACTTTCTCAATTTACCACCTCTTATACTTCTCTGGCCATGTTGAACTTTATCATTGCTTTTTCCAGTTTTGCCATGGCAAGCTTTTTAGGTGCTGTGCAGTATGGGGTACCACTCTGTTTGATGTATGCTACTGTTGGGGATTAGGGGTAAATTTTTTATTAAATAATGTAATAAAAACTATTATAACTATTATTTAATGATTTATAATAAGAATATAAGTTAAAGTTATAACTTAAAGTTATATTCTTGCCTGGCACAGCTCTTAAATAAGAGAAAATTGATAGCCAATTGCCTAATTCAGTCTCATTAAATTTACATAACAATTAATTTGGCATTCAGATTAATAATGGAATTAGTAACTATAACAAAATTACCATTAATACATAGCTGGTTGAAGGATTTTCAGCCAAAGGAAGGTGAACAAGGGGTTCTCTGTGTGTGTGTGTGTGTGTGTGTGTGTGTGTGTGTGTGTGTGTGTGTGTGTGTGGTTGTGTAAAGGCCAGACCAGAAGTAGATTTATGTTTATGTGTAAAACGTTATAGCCAAGTTAAAAGTAGTTAGTTGGCATGCAAAGACTGTGTGTCTGTGTGAAGCATAACATTTCAATAACAATTTAGCGGTGGCTGAGAACTATTGTTAATAATCTCACGTTAACAATGAAACTTCAGTGAAAAAGACAATAATGTACATTTACAAAAGCTACCTGCGATCGACTGGCGACTTGTCCAGGATGTACCCCGCCTTTCGCCCGATGACAGCTGGGATTGTCTCCAGCCCCCCGCGACCCTGTACGCTGGATAAGTGGTTGAGGATGGATGGATGTATGGATGGATACTGTGGTGTATAACATATGTGCATTTGACCATTACAGTTTAAAATAGCACTGTAGCAGCAGGACAGAGGGTCAGTGACCTCTTAAGGGGGAGTAATGATTGGTGGTTATGTAGGGACTGAACCCTTCTATAGAATTTGACCTCTGACCCCTTGTTTTGTTACCTCAGAGTAGTACTGTACCCTTCTATGGGTTGGAGATCTATTTTGCAGACTCTGACCCTTATATGGTATTTGGCAGATACCTAAACATGTCCTATATAAGCTGTGTTTGACACCACAATACAAAAGCTAAAAAGTCCAGTGCTTAGCCAAGTTAACGTTAAGCTGTTTGAAGCAATGTAATGCCCAGTACATAAGGAAAAAAGTTGCTTTGATGTCACCAAAACAATCTCACTTTGATGACTTTAAGACAACCTCAAATTTGAATACCAAAAGAATGAAGCAGTATGGCACCTGTGCTATTAGATACTTTCATAAGTTTTCTCAGGTAAAGAGCAGAATATCGTTTACTGAGCCAGTAGTCTGCGACATCTTGTAGGCCCCTGCCTTCAAATCTTCCATATCCTCTAGCATCATTCATTTTCATGACTTGGAAGATGAGAAAACTGTTTCTGTCATCTTATCTCCTGAGGTGATGGTGAAATGGAGGCAGAGGGGTCTATTTATTTCCTTAAATGTTTTTTTTTTCCTATCATGAGCCACAAGTCTGAGACCAGATGGGTGGAGTGCTGGATGAAATTGGAAAACTGAAATATATTGACTGGTAAGAGAAAGCAGTAAGTGTGAGTGGACTGGAGAAATATTTTATGTCTGTTCTGTATATCTACTTTAGTTGTAATTGAAGGCAGAGAGAGAGAGAGTGTGTGTATGTGTGTGTGTGTATAGGGTTGTGTAGGGGTGTGTGTTGGCTCAGCTCAGTGGCTGAGGTGTCACCAGTATGATTGATATGATTCAAGAAATGGAGGTAAGAGCAGCAGTTCCATGCCTAGCAGCCTTGATTGGTGTACAAATATTTTCACATCGTCTTTTAGTCTTGAAAATAATCTTTAATGTATGATTAGATTTGCATACATTCTTAGGATATGGATCTATTAACTCTTGATAATAAGGACACACAATATTTTCCCATTCCAGCAATCAGGATTACTTCCCAATTAAAATACCTTGACCATACAAAATTATTAACAAAACGTGTTTCTCTTCCCACCTAAAGTGATTATTATTGAGTTAATTTTATAGATACTAAATCCCCAAGATCGGAGGGATTCAATTAAAAATGTATATATGCACATATGCACACACATTAAAGAGATTATCTGTACATGAAATTAAAGGGGACATTATCCCTGACCATGTAACAGCCATAGTTAAAGTCATTCATATAAATATGCAGAAAAACCCCAAATCTGATCGTGACTGAAGGTAGGCGATGCAGAGTACAAAGGAAATATATGTGCATAATCATGTTCAAGCCCTCAGTTAGCCACAATACATTTGGCGTGTTTTGAATAATTGAGCTGGGCTAGCTGCTGTCTCCACACATTTCACTGGCACTTGCATTTTAAAATGGATGGAAATAAGGGATGAATACTTAATGGCTGTGATCTGTGGAATTGCTAGAGCTGTTTTCAACAGTATCTAAGTCATCCGCTCTAAGATGTTCAACTTTGAAGCTTGTAAACAGTGTTTCTTTTATCCAGAGGTGCTAGTAGTTAGCTTTAAGTTGTGCAGACACAAGCGGATTAATAATTGAGGTTAACTAGATCAAGCACAAGTCCAGCTACCATAAACAGAGGCTTATCAGTGCTATTTATTGATACCTCTATGCTGGATATATTGATGCCCACTAACAAATAATTAATGCCCTTTATAGTGTAAAGAATAAAGTAATACCATACTACTAAGGAGCCGAGGTTCCATTCCCACTGTGGCTGTCTGCAATCTAAAATGTTTCCTTATTCTGTAGATTCCACTACGCTTTGGCTGTGATTAGGTGATGTGTGAAAAAAAATGTGGCTTTAACGCACACATTGTCAGTCGTTATAGTGATGTCCCTTGCCATCATTGGCTTGTGACTGCAGCACACAGTGTGCACCCTGCTCGTCCCCTAAGGCTCATATGTGGAGGCGGTTAGCCACATTAGTGCTCTGGGTAAAGTATATAATGAGAACAGCATGAAGCATCGGGGCCCTTGGCAAGGCAATTAACATAAAAGACAATGCTTAACATTTAGATCCAGAAAAATCATAGCAGTAAACGTGGATTGGTTTGACACATTAGCTCTTTCTGTTGTGAGAGGGCACTGTGAAGTGTTTTTCCACAATGGCTGGCTAACAGGTGGTGACACACTGCAGCAATTGTGGAAGGAGGTAAAGCTCAAGCAATATACATCCACTCAATCACACCATGCAAAAACGATCTCAGCGCCAAATGCGTCTTCTGTGACACTAATCGAGTTGATTGAAAACGAGTCACCTCTGTCGAGGACAATCTAGAGAGATTTTGAATTAAGACGCTGTGGAAGAAGCAAAGCAAAGATAGAAAATTATTTGAATGTATTTGGCTTCTCCTGTGCCCTTTCGCGCAGAGCGGGTCATCTCAATTCCATGTCTGCCCCCAATGTCTCCTGCCAAAGACAGTGTGAATAAGATTACACATTGATTTCTCGCTCTCACACACAGAATAGAAAAGCATGAGTAGGAGCTCAGAGCTGACTGGCAGGAGTAGATATCCTGTAGGACGCTGTTTGCTGGAGCCGTTGATTTGTTTGTTTGTAATAGAGTTGCCCCCTGGGCTGTTTGTCTTCTGCCAACTCAGGGAGTCATCTGGATTTTCTTAGCTGGGCTGAGCAATATATGATCTAGGATAAAAAGGCAAAATGTATTGGGAGGTTTGGCTTACAGAAGCTAATGTTCAGTGGTTTTAATGTTAGTATAGATCTCAGTCTTCATTTAAAACCGTATTTTTACCAACTGTGGCAGACGTTGAAGGAGCCATATATCTGGCACGGACATGCGTCTGTGAACACAGACATCTAAAACAGAAAACTATAGTATTTAAATAATTTGACTTTGAACTATGACTGAACAGGAGTCATAACTCAACTGTACATGTCAAACAATCATGACTAGTTGTCTGTGCTATGGTTTTAAATAATTATTCCCACATTAAAGGTAAACTGTACATTTTAAATATGTGGTTTAGTGCAAGATATTAAACTACCATAAAAATAAACACAAGCACTGTAGTTTTGCATTGGACATTTTTTACTAGAATTGCATGTAAGAAAAGTGACATTAATCCCAGACTGGGCTAAGCTCTGCTCTAGTACAATAATATACAAAAATGAATAAAAAAGTTACTTTTTTAATGTGCTTTCAACTAACTATGATTTTTCTATGTCTCTTTCACATCATTGAACGTATCCTCTTGTTTAAATAATTGTTAGTAATTTTACAGAGAAAGATATAATCACCTACTCTTCGCATACATCATAAATTGCAGTGTTATCCGTGTATCAATTGTTTTTCAAAACGTTACCTTTGTTACTCATTCTCATACACTAAAGCTGGGCAGTCAGAATGGTAGTGAGTACTGAAATCCAATCTGCAAACCTCAGGTACTAAATTTGCTAAAGATAGATAACTCTTTCAATGGTTGACCACTGACGTCTCAGCACACACATATGTAGGTGCAGCAGGTCTATTGTCAATTTTGTACTACGCAGTACTCAATTTTGTTTGTTTCTCACACTGTACCAGAAATATCAAAATGTAATGTTACATGGTAGAAATTAAACTAAATACACCTTTTGGCACCACTCTCAAAGACAGGAAAATTATTTACTCCTGTGCAACATAGACAGGCATGTATTTAAAAGCTAACAATTTGTTAAAACACAATGTAACTAAGCTTGGTTGCAGGTTAGGTAGGCTTTCACATCCCTGCTGTTGAAAATTAGTTTGGCGTGCTTGCCCCAAGAAGACTTCACGGCAGGGGAGACCTCCATCCCCAGGTCTGAGAGGTGAGCCGGTGAGAGTGGAAAGAGAGAAATCACAAGGTGAGCTAGAGTTTTGTGGCCCAGTTGGGGATAGTGCAGTAACAGAAACT